TTTTGTAATTAGCAGCCGATACTGTCGCCGCGAAGCGGCCTGAACGCAGGCGGGGGGCTGTGTTAACGAGCGCCCCAGTGATTCACGCGCCGTTCGAAAAGGGTGGCCCGAGCGGCATGATCTCTCGGAGGGGCGCACTCCGGAGTGCGTATAGCTTTACTCTTTTTTTAATTTGCAAGTGACATAATGTGCACAAACTGTGGCGCATCTGGGGCTTGAAAAAGATAATGTAACGTGTCTTGTATGTGTGTGAAAAATTGTCAAAAAAGGCTTAAAAACCATTGTTTTTAGTTTTGGCTATATTTGGGCTATACCACCCAGGCGTTTGGCGGTTTTTTGTTGAGACCATCTGGCAACAACTTGCGTCTGCACCACAGTGGTCTGCGCCTCTGTTCTGTTGTGGCTCGTATTTCGCCGTGTTAAAGACTGCATTTGGTGCGCTACTTCCTGATAATGAACAAGTGGCGTAAGTACCGGAAGCTCAAGAAGGACCATGAGCAGCTCATGGCGGATCTTCAAGCTGCAAGCTGCAAGAAGCCGAGAACGGAAGGCGGTTTGACGGGCAATGCCGTTTCCAGCGATGTTGCGCGCTCTGATAAACCTGCAGCCGGAGGCGTTTTCCAGTCGAGTGAAGCTGGCTGTTCGGGTGACTTGGAAGTCCAGGTGCAGTCGGCGAGCTTTGAAGTCTCGAGATCTGACGTGCTGGCGAGTTCTTCAGAAAATGATTCGTCGGAAGACGATTCGTCGGAAGACGATACGAGCGATGAGTACCAGTCAGAGGAAAGCGCTGACCATAACTCGGAGCCACCAAACGGCAGCGCGAATCCGAACGCTGTCACTACGTCGTCATCCCAGCCGCATGAACTCTCGGCATGCGACGAGCTCGCAAGTATTGCTGGGAAGCACAACATGAGCCACGTATGTCTGAACGATGTTCTTGCCTTTGTCGGCGTCGAGGCATTGCCGGACTACCCAAAGACGCGCGGACTGTGTTGTGCACAGAACGGAAGTCCCGACTAGAGCAATGTGACAAGTTTGTGCATTTCGGCTTAGAAGAAGGCATCCGTCAGTCATTGCAAGGCTGCCCCATTCCTAAGGAGATTAAGCTCCAAGGGAACATTGGCGGTCTGCCCCTGTTCAAAAGCTCACAGGTGAGCTTCTGGCCCTTATTATGCCGGATAACGAATTTGACCCCTCTGCCGTCACCTTTTATGGTCAGTTTATACTGCGGCACAGGAAAGCCCCCAAATCTGGAGCAGTACCTGTACGCATTCCTTGAAGAAGCCCGCAAGCTCACAGTGCATGGCATGGTCTTCAAGGGGAGCCACATCACTGTCAGCATCACGGCCATGGTGTGCGACGCACCCGCAAGAAGCTTTATCAAGCAAATAGTTGGGCACACTGGCTATCACGCCTGCGAACGGTGCAGTCAGAGGGGCCTGCATCTCGAGGGTCGAATGACATTTCCTGATTTGCACTCACCACAACGCACCAACGAGTCGTTCCGGTCTCAGGAAGACGAGCACCATCACACGGGAACGTCGCCATTTGAATCTTTAGATGTCGACATGGTGTCATGGTTTCCTACGGAGTACATGCATCTCGTCTGTCTTGGCGTTATGCGGCGCCTTCTGAGAAACTGGGTTAGCCAAGGGTTCGGGAGACGCCTAAGTCGACAGCAGCGTGAAAATTTGAATGATTTACTTCGAAGTTGCAGTAAGCGTTTCCCCAGCAACTTTCAAAGGAAGCCAAGAGGCACTGAGGAACTTGACCGGTGGAAGGCCACAGAGTTTCGAAGCTTCCTCTTGTATGTGGGACCTGTGGTTTTGAAGCATGTGTTGCCAAACGATCAGTACCGTCACTTTTTAATGCTGCATGTGGCAGTGAGAATTCTTGTATCTCCTGCACATTACGAGGTTTATAACGGATTTGCCAGGGACCTTCTTAGGTACTTTGTGCAGGAGTTTGGCACCTTGTATGGGGCCAAGCAGCTCGTTTACAACGTGCACACGCTCAGCCATCTGGCTGAGCAGTGTTTGGACCATGGCCCTCTTGACAGTTTTAGTGCGTTTCCTTTTGAAAGTTTCCTGGGTAAGGTTAAGAAAATGCTACGTTCAACAAGCAAGCCTTTAGCGCAGATCAGCAGACGAATGTCTGAAGTCAGACATTTGTATCAACCTGAGATTTCGGAACCGAAACGCATTGTCAAAGCAGGTCAGTGCTTCATGCTGAACGAGTCTGCAGTTGTCGTCTTGAAGCTCCTTGAAGACAGGTTCAAGGCAAGCATTCTGCCAAACATGACAGATTTTTTTGAACTGCCGATCAAGTCGTCCGCCATCGGCATCTGGCAGTGCGATTCCCTCACGCACGTGACTAAAATGTACAACCTTTCCGAACTTGACACTGCTGTTCAATACCTCAGACTGGACTACAAAAGCAGACATGTCATCCTTCCACTTCTACATCTGCTGTAGGCCTTTAACATAGCTTTTGTAGCTTCTTTGAGGCCCTCGTATGATTTCCAACCTCTGCAGGCTGCATTCTGAAAGGCCTCTGGCAATTGAACTGTGCGCTAGTGTCAGCAGTTAAGCTGACAGTTATGTTTTGTGGGCAACAAAATTGCCGGATGTTGATCAGGACTCTTTTGAGCTGACTGAGAGCTTTCCCAAATGCTGTGTGGAAGGCCTCAAGCAGATGAGCTGTGCATTGCTGCTGGCATTCGAGCTGACAGTGCGGTGTTGTGTGCAACAATGCTGCCAGGCGTCCGTCAGAGCTCTTCTGAACTGTGCAAGGAATCTTCCAAGTGCAGCATGCAAGGTGCCAACCCTTCAAACTGTGCGTTTCTGCGAGCATTTGAACTGACAGTGGAGTGTTGTGTGCAGCAGTGCTACCAATCGTCACTCAAGGTCCTTTCAAGCTGTTCATGAAGCCTGCCAAGCCCATTGTACAGGGCATCAAGCAGGCGACCTGCGAGTGGTTGCCAGTGTTTGAGCTGACGGTGAAGTGTCATGTGCAGCGGCACTGTCAGGCATCAGTCGACTCTTGGAGCATCTCCAGGTGTATTTTGTGCCCTGTGTGAACTTCTATACTCCGTCTCGCCCTAAGCTGGACTAAGCGGTGAAGCTACAGGCCAAGGGGGCCAATCACAAGCCCGTTGGATGGTGCTAATCCTGCATGTGCTGTTAGGCTAGTTTGTTCCTTAGTTTAAGTTCAACTTAAGTCTTGTACTGTGGCTTGGAATTCGATTAGATTTGACATGACACATAGAAAAAGGCACAAAAGCGACCTATTCATATTATTTATGATGAGTACTTTGGAAGCCTATGTACTTACGAGTATAAATACATCCTTAAAATACTTTCCCTGCAGAACCTATAAAAAAGAATTGCTTACAATGCATTATTTTTATGTAGAACCATTCATGGCCTTCTTGATGGTGATTTTGCATAATTTCTTAATTTTCATGCATTGCCTTCTGATTTTAGGGGCCGTTATGTGTTTTACTTTCTACTCATGTGAAATTGTCTCCGGTTGTTCAAATGCAAATTTGTGTTAACAGATTATCCCCTGCTACTGATGTGCTTTCTGATCTCGTTATATTCATGCAAAGTGGTGCGCTATGCTAGTTCGTACAAGTGAAGCATGATTAAACAGGTGTGACGGACAAGGGCGAGGCATGTTTGTGTTCTGTCCTTCGTCATTGTCCGTCACGCCTGTTTGATCACGTTTCATTGTAATCAAACGTGGAATGGACCTGGATCTTTTCATTACTTTATTAATCCTTAAGGGCCCTCTGTTGAGGGCATGGCTGACCAACAGCGTTATGTTGGTCAGCCATCTTAATACATGTCTCATGCTGTAGATGGGCAATTTGACCAGTGCGGTACAATTGCGATCCTGGGGTCTTTAACGTGCATCACCAGTATGTGATTACACGAGCGCAGCCGGTACGATGCTCAGGTGTGGACATACTCTGTGCAAGTGGACAGGTAGTTTTGATTGTGTTTTTCAATTTTTTCTTTGTGCCTCTACACCAAGACCTAATGGTTGTGTGGGGCATTAGATAATAAAACTAAAATAATAATAATGAGAGAACATGCGTGGAGGAGAAAGATGAGCTTCATGGCACCTATATATCGTCTCTGGCCTACCACAGGGTCCGTCGTCTCTGGCCATGGATCATGGTGGCCGAGGCTTGGATGTGTTATCTCAAGGTGAATACCTTCCCATCAAGTGAAAGAATGTACCCTTCTGGGTATTTCCGCTTCTCTTTTCTGTATGCCGCATCCTCACCCAACATCACCTCGCCCCTGAGGTGGCAGTAAACTTCCAACAACCGCAGAAAAGGCAAAGAAGCTGTAATAAAAGACCTGCTGGAGAGCGGACATTGTTTGCCCTATCCTCCCAGGAGCTCGGCCTGACGTCACACGACTGTCTGCTCTGCATAACTAGCAGACAAGCTCACTTCCCGCATATGCTCTTCGAAACTAGCCTTTATTTGGGACAACACTAGCTTACGTCCAGAGATCTCATGAGAAAATGTGTCGGAGTGTACTGCAGGTGGGTGACTGGTGGATAGATATCTCGGGGATGGATATCACAATCGTTTAGCATTGGAAAAATGTGGACCTTACATGGATCTCTAACAAGTATGAATTCTTTCACATTCTTTGAACTTCTGTGTAAAATGGTTATATAGCCTAAAACTGCATTTATATAAAGCATGTGGAGTTTTGTATAGCCACTTGCACAGTTCCACGGAGCAGACAGACTCGCTATGTAATAAGCCCCGCCGGTGCAACTGGTCATGCTATTTTGTGAGACCTGTTACCGTAAAGTAACCCTGCCAGCGCTTCTGTGCAGCAAAACTCCTTCTGAAGACTGAACTTTGATAGTGCTGCCTCAGAGCTTTTATTTTTCTCTCTCTCTCTCTTCTGAGCCACACTCACTTGGTTAAACTGAAATTGCGACAGAACTCAGCCTGGTATATTGAGGCCAAAATGCATAATGCCTATACGTGCAGCAAGTGGGCCCATTTTGGTCTGCTGCAGTTGAGCGAGGAAATGTGGAGGCGAGACAGGAGCTTCATAGTGTCTTCGGGTTCCGCGTCTCTCGGCGAAACTCATGGCGGCCGAGACTTGTGCATGTCCTCTCACAGTTAACTGCTTCACGTCAGGGTAAATAACCTACTTTTCGACGTATTTCTGCTCTTTTTGATACACTTTGTCCTCATCCCTAAAACGGCAGTAAATTGCCGACAGGCGCCGAAAAGGGCTGGCCATTGCTACGACCTGCCACAGACCAGACGACAGAAAATCAAGCATACCACATTGGCGTGACGCCACGGCGGCTGTCGTTTGCTGTGCGCGCCTAGCAGACAAGCTTGCTCGCCGCGTAAGCAAGGAGTTGTGGACAACGCAATAGTAGTTTCGTTAGATTGAAAATTTTATAGCATTGAACTTGCTATGTCCACGTTTGACTGTATTCTCATACTCTAGACTTCGTCAGGCAACAGGAGCTAGGCTGATTTTCTTCAGTAGCTTGTACTGTCATGTAAAGAGACTGCCCGAGCAACAAAAACAATTGTGGCACAGATTAGCAAGCAAAGGACAGCCCGCTAGGGACGATGTTCCCATGGTCGTGTTTAGCACGTGTGCCAGCTGCTTTTGTCGAATCAGATCAAAAGGAAGCGGCAAGTATACGTGGAAGTCGCGACAGCACCCCGAGGATTAGGCCCAAGCAGATGACACGCTGTGGCGCCACCTACAATGCTGTGCGCTCCGAATTTCGGCAGGTGCCAAAAATTGACGCTGCGTGAAGTGCGAATTAAGGGCGTACCACGCGTACCACTTGTACGAACCATGCACAGAATTAATTTTTTGAATGGTTGTCGTTAACCTTTTTAATGGTCCTATCCCACCAGTGGTTGAACTGTGTCCACGAAGGAGTTGCGATTATCGGTAATACCAGAGTTTTGGACAGTTTAGTCTGGCAACGGTTGTGTCACGTTCCAGTACCCACTTTAGTCAACAATCCAAATCGATATGACCCGAAATTGAGACAATATTGGCAGAATAATGGCTAAAATTGGAAATAACGGCCCAATTTAGCCGATATGACCCGATATTGAGCCAATATTGGCATAATAATGGTTAAAATCGGCAATAATGGCCCGATTTAGCCGATATTGAGCCAATATTGGAAGAATAGTGGTGAAAAGCGGCAATAACGGCCCGTTTTAGCCGATATGACCCGATATTGAGCCAATACCCTGTTGGAAAATCTCGATGATGGAAAGAAGATGGAAAAGGCTCATACAAGCGTAACCGTAATATGGGACATCCTATACAAGCGAAAAGGCAGCTCCAGTATAGTGGATTACGGCGGAACGATACAGGTAGGCGGAACCATACAAGCGTGTCGTATTATGGGACATCCTATACCGGCGTAGTGGATTATGGCGGAACCATGTAGGCGGACGGAACCATACATGGATAACGTAATATGGGACATCCTATACCAGCGAAAAGGCGATACCGGCATGTTGGAGCCATATGGCTCCAACATGGTGGTTTCGCCTTTTCACTGTTGTACACGGCAATTTAGTTTTAAGCTTTACATATATGTTTAGAAAGGTCGTGAAAGCTAAATTAATGCGATTTGTGCAGGCAAGTTGTATGGCCAGGCGTACGTAGTATAGGGACCTAGTCGTAACGATCAGTCAGATAATTAAATACAATTTGTTAATTAACTTTTTAATTAGTGAAAATGAAACTATGGTTTCTATTGGAAACTTGCTGAGTCACTGAAAACCACAAAATCAACTCTTTTTAGAAGGATATAATGCAGGGGTAGCATTTTACACGTTCTGTAAAAATGCTTTATTTGGACGAGTTTCTAGGTTTCAGTTTCTTATCAGAGCTCATCTTTGCGCCCACAGTCCTGTTCCCCAGGGGCTTAGACGCGCAACACACGTGCGCCTTGCTTCCCTCCATCCTACGAGGGAGGCGAGGGGGCGGCTTCGCACTGCGGCCACCGGGCAGCAGGACCGTAGGTGCAAAGATGCGCTCTGGTAAGAAACCGAAGTCTGGAAACGCGTCCGAATTGACCATTTTTTTAGAACACCATAAAATGCTGCTCTTGTCTTATATCTTCACAAAGAAAATTGATTTAGTGTGTTTTGATGATGCTTAGAAGTTTCTAATTGGAACCATGGGTCTATTTTCACTGATTGAAAATTTCAGGAACATACTATACTTAGAGAGAGGCTGAAGCGGTTTTGTATTTGAGAAAACACTTTTAAATCTTCTTAATTTGACCTCCAGAATCTCAAATATCAAAATTATTTGCTAATTTAATTAATCGAGGCTGCATAGAGTCATCTTAAAGCGCTTTGAAAGCACTTCCCTAGAGAGCGACGTCACAAGAGCAGCTTTCAAAATCTTTGTTCACACATCTTCAGCGCCTATGAAAGCTATGCACGCACATGCTATTTTTTAAAGGGGCAGAAAAATGTGTCACGACTGGTGCCAATGCGGGAGAATATACCTAGAAAACTTGCGACTGGACGCGCGGCCCTTAAGCGACACACACTTGGCGGCTGAAAGGTCTTCTTACGATGTCACTATTGGTAGGATGTTTTTTTGTGTTTTCTCACGTTTAGTTATATCTTTGTGGAAAACGAACGGGATATTCAGATTCGCGGGATAAAACCACGCGAGAATGAACCTCCATCTAGTTTTCTGAAAGAAGTCTGGCACATCTCTGTAATAAGCCGACTGATCATTACAAATTAGCCTTTTATACTATGCCGCCCTGGCCATATAACTCACGTGTACAGACTGCGTAAATGTAGCTTTTACGACTTTTTTTTTAAAAAATCTGTAAAATATACAAAAAAACACTCTGTAGAATGTCCCCCAATACAATATGATTGTATGGTTCCTTTCCCGCTTGCATTGTTCAAGAAAGACTTGTGGATATCCAGCGTTTCATTGGAATGCTGGATGTCAATGAGTCTACATCAGTGAGTGGTTTCAAACAATTATGATGTTTGCACACCAGTAAGCTCTTATCCGAGGCTCACCAGGAGCACTAAGAGCAGAGGCAAAATGTCGTGAGCTGGTAAATTTGGTTGCAGGTATTTATTTTTAGAAGAACTGCATGCAGCAAAGCTTAACTTTGCTGAAAAGAAGATAATTAAAAATTCAATACTGAACAATGGTGTCCCTTGAGCTGTCAGACCAAACTCCCACTCTTGTCACTCAGGAGTTCCTAACTTGTGCGTAGAGGATCAGCATAACCCAGATTTGTGCTGCAAGCGCACCTGCAATATAAAAGTTGAAAAAACATGAGATGAAATATGAGACGTTTACAATTCTCTGTAATGAGAAAATACAGTACAGCTCTCGAAGAGGAAGATGGGAGGGTATGCCCCTCCTTCCCCTCCCCTCCTCCTCTTCTGCTCCCTCCCATTTAGGGGGAAATTTCCCCACTAAATTTAGCGGGTAAAGTTTCCCAATAAATTTAGCGCGGAAATTGATGTCACATGACCTCAACACAAATGCAGTTTTTCCGCTAAAAGTAGCGGGGAAAATGACGTCGCATGACCGTGTCACGTCATCCATAAAAAAATTCAGTTTCTCAGCTAGACTTAGCGGAAATATTAACGTCACATGACCACAACATTAATTCAATTTCCTGCCAAGTTTAGTTGGGCGGTTACGCCGACAGCGACGCCGCGAAACGCGGAAACGGGTGCTAAGAGCTGCGCTAAAAACTAAATGCATCAGGTGAAATAAAGTGAACATTAGATATACTGTAAGAAAAAGAAGAGAATCTAAGATACCGTTCTCAGATCCTTCCTTTTGTCCGTTCTCAAATGTTTTGATATCAAGAAATGTTTATCTCTTTATTCATACCCAGAGAACCCCTCCCAGTTTCAGCATGAATGCAATAAATCAATGCAGACTAGACCTAGTAAACTATAATGCACATGAAAATGAATGTTTGCCACATAGTCATGTATCAGTCAGTGGCTCAGATCTCAAAATACATTTGTATTGAGGAACATTCTTGAATAAAACTTCTGGGCTTCGAATTCAACAGTTTGTACTTCCATAAGGAACACTGTATGGCACTGATTTTTTTTTGTTTTTTGTGACACATCAGAAACAGCACAACACTGTCATCCTTGCATACCTAACAAGAATTTGTATCTTTTTTTTTTTAGCATGGCATGTGCTATTCTAATGCCCATACAGCCTCCTTTAACAAAATTTCCTTTGTATAGCTTTTTATTGGTTCTTATTTAGCTCGCACGACAGATTCGATACCTTGAATTCTCACTCGGCATCAACAGTTTTATATATTAATGTAATAGCGAAAGACAAGATGTATGGACTTGAGTACGGTTCAACAAGCACAGATGTTGAGAAAAGTACTGAGGAAAACTCAAATGTCAAAATAAAAATAAGCTGGAATGTGGATACAATTATGGACATGGTCATGAATACAGTTAGCAGATTCAATATAAAGAATATGTGTTAGACGCACGCTCAAAGAAACCTGTTGCATCATTATTCATTCAAATTACTTTGCAGAACCCAGCGCTGCAGTCTCAGGTGGGAGTTCGCTGGATGAGTCTACTGAAAATGAGTGTAGACGGAAAAAGCAGTTTGATCTGCGATAATGAGCATTACATAAGTGACATGTCATTATTACTGTTACAGTGCCGAATGTTCCAAACTGTCAGTCGCATCATTCTGTGAATTCCCTCCGTACATTACAGGGTTTGGCTCTTTCGAATGCTTTGCGAGAAAAATGATGAACTGGAAATATCTAGAGTAGTTCTAGAAAAACTATTTCCAGAATCTTATCTCAGCATCGCAAAGAATATAAAAAGTTTCTAAAGACAAGGTTAGTGCAGGAGTTGAATAAACTAAATACTTTGTTTTTCGAAACCATCTTGCCGTAGTAAACGTATGAAGTTCCCCTAGGTAGAGCTAGTCATTACGGATGATTGTG